GAGGAGGAGGAGGAGGAGGAGGAGGAGGAGGAGGAGGATCAACAGCAGCAGAGGTGCTAAGACTGTTCGAAAAAAAACTAGTTGCTACCCAAATACTTGTGCTTTTAGCAGTTATCTTAGGCATAAGAACTGAAAATAAACAAGAAAATAAGTTTGAGCTTACCTTCCTTCGAGGAAAATCAGTTTTAGGTCGAGACTGGCGCGAAACATGAACATGTCTCTGGATAGACGCACCTCGGTGGTATTTGTGTTTGGTGTGGGCAGGGCGTACGCGGCAGCAACTAGGCCCATATTCTGCAGATGGGGAAATCCGTCCGTGTACACCAATCTGACCTTGAGATGACCACTGCAGTGCAGGACCTGTGTCACAAGGATACAAACATGTTGATTCTTCAAACTCTTTTTTTTACTTAAACTGGGCGGATGTTGAGAAATCCGATAGAAACCTTTGCTTTTCTGATCAAGGGACTTTGTGTAATAATGTAGTTACATTTAACGCTTGCAGGGGCTAAGCATTTTGCCATCGAAGTACACTGCCAGAAATGCTTTTGCTGTAAATGTAATTCAGAAATATATTGCATAACGTGCGATGCATAGGGAGCCATGCGATTCGAAGTTGCGGTTGGTCATCGGCTCCCTTCGTAATTAGTCCGTTTCAGCTGCGTTACCTTCACCTTGATGAACTAGCGTCTTCACAGGGACGCACGAACAAGATCATGAGAATGCTGATGCTGTATATGCAGTGACCTTTTCATCCCTGAATCGCCTCAAATGTAGGATAAGAAAAGGACAAGAAAAGGTTTTCTAAGACATACTATGGGAGGCGACGACGTCATACGGTAGTCAAACTCTTGCCACAAGGAAGGCTTAAACCACCGAGCACGTTGCCGTTGAGCTATCACAACTAGGCTTCCTATCGGCAAGAATTAATCGCTATTAAGACCACGAGGCGTGAAATGACGAGTTATTCGGACCATCATTAGGTATTGCTATCATAGCTCAGGTGTCCATATACTAGGAACCGTATAGAGAACTCTGCGTGACCCACTGAGAAGCTGAACCCCGCGTTACTGCGTCACGCAGCAGCAGAAACATCGGCGAAACGTGTGTGCGTGGGCTTTTAGCTAGTACATATATCGGGAGTAAGTTATAAAATATTTTCCATAGAGGATTTATACTACTTGTATGCACGGCTTGTTTTTAGAATGGGTATTGTGTGGTTATTCCACAGTAGTTGGTTGTTTTCGACTCAAATATTCATTTAATTTTCAGGTCTGCCTCCAAAAAGCCATGTCCCGGTCACTTAACTCCATACCACGCACTTGATAATTTCTGAAATTATTCCCTTGATTTAGTATTACAATCTTACAATACATCATACCAGCCTGGATTCCTCTCGTTCCTTATTCATGTTATGCGGCCGTGGGAAGAGTGGGGGGACGTCGATGCTCCCTCATCGTCTTCTGCTTTTTTTTGAAAATACACATCGTCTTTGACTTCCTGCTTG